CTCAGGCACCCCAACTTTGTTCTTTTTCAGTATTGTTTTGGGGGCGCACCGGTGGCTCAGTCGGTTGAGCAGCCAGCTTCAGGTCAGGTCATGATCTCACGGTTTGTGTGTTCGATCCCCGCACACAAAGACTCTTTGCTGACAGCTCAGAGCCTGAAGCCTGTTTCAAATTCTGTGATTCCCTCTCTCTTTCTGCCCCTTCCTCACTCATGCTGTGTGTCTCTCTCTCAAAAAATAAATGTTAAAGGAGGTATCACCATCCCAGACTTTAACCTCTACTACAAAGCTGTCATCATCAAGACAGTATGGTATTGGCACAAAAACAGACACATAGACCAATGGAACAGAATCGAGAACTCAGAAGTGGACCCAAAAGTATACAGCCAACTCATCTTTGACAAAGCAGGAAAGAATATCCAATGGAAAAAAGACAGCCTTTTTAACAGATGGTGTTGGGAGAACTAGACAGCAACATGCAGAAGAATGAAACTAGATCATTTTCTCACGCCATGCACAAAAATAAACTCAAAATGGATAAAGGACCTGAACGTGAGACAGGAAACTATCAACACATTTTTTTAAGTTTATTTACACTTGATCTTAGCCAAAAGGCCGAGAAGCGATAAGTTTATTTACTTATTTTGAGAGAGAGAGAGCGAGAAAGCGTGCACAAGCCAGGGTGGGGCAAAGAGAAAGGGAGCATCCCAAGCAGGCTCTGTGTTCTTAGTTCAGAGCCTGACACAGAGGTCACATTCACGAAACCATGAGATCATGACCTGAGCTGAAATCGAGAGTCAGGTGCTTAACCAACTGAGTCACCCAGACACCCCGGCACCCCAGTGATGTCTTTTTTAAATTATGAGGGAGAAAAGAATATGCTGTTACTGATATACATACATATACTGAAAAGCATAATAATGGATTAAGATCTGAAATCAGGACAAACCTACTGCTTGCTGATACCTCCAGGAACAATTAAGGGACCACATGTGTATTGTATCTAATGTTTCAAAATCAGAAGAATGTTATAGTTACAGTTTAGGAGATTATTGGCTTATAACTGACACAGAAATTCTGTATGTACTCCAGCTGGTTTCCAGATGAAATGGACACTCTTTAAGGTGTCTACAGATGTCTCTGAGAAGTAATCCAATTGGAAGAGCAGAACCTGAAAGAGCTTATGAAGCTAATAAAGTTAATTTACCACATAACTTCTACATCACTGAATTAATGGTTTATTCCTTATTCCATATTAGGTCAGATTAAGAGAAATGCACAACTAGTATAAATAGCTCCAGAAGGAGGATCACCTAGTTGGCTCAGTCACTTGAGTGTCCAGCTTTGGCTTAGGTCATGATGTCACGGTTCATGGTGTCAAACCCCACATCGGGCTGTTTGCTGACAGCATAGAGCCTGAAATCTGCTTCAGATTCTGTGCCTCACTCTCTCTCTGACCCTCCCTCACTTGTACTTTGTCTCTCTCTCTTTCTTTCTCAAGAAATAAACAATAAAAATTTTTTTTTTTAAATAGCTCCAGAAGTAAATATAATCAAGCTAGTTTACTGGCTTTTCTCCCAGCTTTATTATGGTATAATTGACAATAAGATTTGTATTGATATTTTAATTTGCACTAGAAATATGAGAAAAGTCAAAAAATGGAACCAGTGCACCTGTGTATTAGTACTAGAATAGATAAACTGGCTAATTTATATAATAATGATTGCAGTTCACATATCAAGTTGAATGAGCTAGCAGTGTACACATTTCAACCAAGAGAAGCCTCAAAAAAGAATGTTAATTGCAAAATAATTTGCATTGTGTTATATATAGTTGAGTTCCATAAATGTACCTTTTTTAGATCCTCAGCATTTTCTGTATGGATAACAGATATGTATATATAGTAGAGGTTCCGAGACATTTATAGGAAAGATCAGTGCCAACTGTAGGATAATGGTTTTTCTGTTAATATAGGACAGAAGAATGCTAGAGTTAAACCTTTAGCTATTTTAATAGTGTTTGGTTTTTATAAAAGAGAGAGAAAAATCTGAAACAAATAGGACCAAAAAATTTAAACCTACTAAATCTAATTGCCAGGCATATTGGTAGGTGTCTCTTGCTATGTATACTGTATGCTTAAATTTTTTTAAATTTTTTCAGATAAATTTAAAGCTAAGAAAATCTCTTTTTGGGTAATAATAGTAAAAATTATTACTAAATACATTCTTTTGTTCCTCAGAGAAAACATTTATTTGCAAGTGAAATTGTTTTTTCTTCTTCAATACTTATCCTAGATGCCAGCCTGTTACTGTGCTCCAGGCCACTATCACTCCAGTCAACCTCAGTATCGCCCAATCCCTTCTGTCCATTACAATTCACATCTAAACCAACCACTGCCACAGCCTGCACAACAGACAGGTGAGTAATGTTTCTGAGGCTATGATTTCTTAGCTACTGATATAGCTTTTTTCATTCTGCTTTATTTAGTGTTACTATTAAGATGTTAACCATACTCCATGCATCAAGGGTCTCAGATATGGTCCATATGAATATGTAAACCAGTGAGATTTCAAAGAGTGGGCAAATCTTAGCACCTGCCAGAAAATGACACTGTCAGGTTTATATGCTGATGTGTATAGAGCCACAAACCATAATGAGAAGACTGTACCATGCAAAGCAAAGTGATGAGCAGCTTCTTGTTACTCAGTGCCACTGTAGTGAATCCTCCTTTGCAGCCTGATAATCCACCTCTGTTAATAGCAAAAGAGAGGCACGGCAAGCTAAGGTGTCTCCCGAGCAGCTAACTAGAAGCAGGAATCAAAGTGACCCACCTCTGAGAATCTAGCCTGGTGAAGACATTTTGATGTCTTGTTCTCAGTATGCCTTTAAAAGGAATGATGTTCTCAAACATCTTTTTTGTGCTTTTTCAGTTTGCTGGTTATATAGTGAAAGATATTTTTAAACCAAATACAATCTAACCCTAAGAATATCAAATATATTAAAACTCAAAAGATCCTTTTCCTTTTGCCTCTCTCAAATTTTCTTTAAGCTTTCTGTGAAAACAGCTGTGACTTCAGTATAAAAAACTATCTTTACTGAATTCATTTATTTCTATGCTTCCCACCTAGATTTGTGCTTCTGCCCCAGATGTATAATAAGGTACTTTTCAGCCTTTCATAACTCTAGCTGTTGAAGTGGTATGTTTCTTGGCATCTTTGAGACCATGTTAGCTGGTTGTCACTGTTGGAGGCTCTCAGGCTATATCACCATGACTCACTGAGGCCATATAACCCTCCACTTATGCAGTTTCTTGCTCTTGATATGTGCCACTCTTAAGGGGAGCCGCAGTTTTAGGAGAAAGATGCCTACATGGGCCAATCTGATGAGAAGTGTCCTTGTTTCTCCTTTGTGGCTCACCAACTTCTTTAACCAGATAGGATTGTTACTTATCATTCCTGTGGGGGAACTGCCAGGTTTTTAATCCTTTGCTCCTAGGAGTTGTCTTAGACTTCATGTTAGGTCTTTCCTTTTTTGTATTACTAACCCTGTGTTGTATGTGTGACAGATGTTCTTTCAGTGGATGTTGAATACAAGCATTGGTCATTTTAGCCAGCTTCTCTCTTAATTATGACTCCGTTTAATTCAAGTTTTCCTGAAGGCTAATAATACAATCCACTTCAAGTAATATAATCTAATACGTGCTCTAATTTTGAAAGTCATCAAAAGTTATTCTTTATAATGGGAGCGTCATTATGGCACCATTCATTCATTAGTTTTAAGTACATTGTTGTTCTATTTTAATAGAAATTATTTTCTGACTTTTCCTGGGCTACAGTGACTTACTTTTCATATTGTTTTTCTCCCAAAATTATAATACAGATTATTGCTAATGTCATAACAAAAAGAAATTTACCTTCTGTCTCCCCATTCAAATATCTTGTGTGTGACTAATGAGTTTCGTACAGCCTGCTAATGAGGCATGCAAAGATTTTTTGCTCCATGTTTGTATGAATTTACTAGTTTTGTTCTTTCCCATGACTAAATTTTTATTCTTCTGCATTGTCAAACTGCCTACAGAATTGAAACTTTTAATCATAGGTTGTCCCAGTGTGCTTTTACAGATGCATCTCAGCAAAAATCCTCCCACTTAATAGAGAACAACTGAATATGCCACTCCTCACAATTGAGGGCCAAAATATCTATGTGACAGTCAGTAGTTGTTTTATAATGAGTGATATTTTCACTGTGGATTTTTCCTAATGCTAGTTAAGGGGAAAAAGAGGGAAACAAAACTTAGAGTGCATCTGTATAGTCCAGGCACAGAAAAACAGTTTTTGTGAACAGTTTTTAATACTGTTTGACTCTTAACGTTACCATAATGTAACATGTTATAGAATTTGTCCTTCCAATTATTGTGATCTAAGTTTAGCTTAAGTTAGTTGAAAAAAAGAGAAATAAATCCTCAAATCATCCTGTTCTGAAAAGGAAGGAAATTTTATTATGCTAATAAGTACAATAGTAAATCCCTCTTTAGAAGTTCAGTAATGCCAGTAGCAAGTATTGTGTTGGTAATTATAACAAACCTTTTTTGTGGAATTAGTAGGATTTGAACTACTAAAAGACTTATAATCAAAAGATTTTTTTGTAAGTAGTTAATGGTTATTTTTTATGTTAAAGCGTACAGAAAAGTGTGCATTTATGTTTGTGTGTGTCCTAATAGAAAAGTAAAATGCAGTGGGAAATGAACAAGGCAATTTTCTGTGTGTGTGTGTGTGTGTGTGTGTGCGTGTTTAACAAATTTATAGCAATTTCTTTCTCAATAATTTACATTTTTGTATGTACGCATTATACTTTCTGGATTTCATTCTTTTATTCTTTTCTTTATATTTCCCTACATACATTCCACCATCCCAATCTGATTAAAATTAGAAATAATTTGTTACATCTCTTAACTTTTTGTTTCTTGACAAGTAACATTTAGTCAAGAAGCATATTATTTTCTTTTATTACATAAAAAGGTAAAACTATTCAACCGAATAATGAAAACATTAATAGATTTGGAACAGTTTTTCTTCACTGGGGTGCAGTAAATAAATAATTTTTAAATTAAGTATTTGTAAACCAGGGGAAATGGCAAGAGAAATACAAGACATTCTGCTATTTTCCCTTTCGGGGGCAGGATGGAGGTTGAGGAGATATCTCAAGGATAAAATGCTTTGGTCTTCCATCCATATGAGTGCCAGAGATCCACAATAGTTATTGATCTCCTTGACAACAAACCTCCCATATATTACAAGAATTGAATTGAAAATAGTACTAACATGATTGCTGGGGAATGAATGTGAATCTGAAACTGTCATGGTCATTCAAATCAAGGTTAAGACGACCCCAATCAGCAGAAGCAGAAGAAATTCTGGCTACATGAGGCTTTTGAGTGCATTGTATAGTATGAAAGAAAACAAAATAGGAATAAAATCCTGACAGCCTCATTCATTTTTATCAGGTATTAGGTCTATCACTTAAAGCTTTTTGGTTTCATTTTACTTACTTGCACAGTAAGAGAATTTTGCTGATTGAAGCCTCTGTGATCTCTAAAATTCCATGATTCTGTGTTTCTATCTTATGTGAGTCATCTCTAGTTCAGAAAGGTGGAATATTGGAGGATTGGTTTGTAGTAGCTTAGTGACTTACTGTCAAAAGCTGGAGTCACACAAGCAACTATTTCAAAAGATACGGTTACTTGCCATTTGCAGTAATAAAGATTTATTATCTTAACTCTTTATCATAAAGTTTACAGTTTGAATACTATAAAGTATACTACATATAAGGAACTTGATAGAAAGAATCTATTCCTGCACATAGTAGTTATAGCAAAGATTTTGGGTTTATGAAGCCCTGGCTGTTTTCTGTGTAGCTGCTTTCATTCTTATGACTCTTTTGAAAAGTTTGCAGCTTTACCATATATGTTTAATATTTTGCAATAATTGGCCTTGTTTCTGAGCTGTTGGATTCGGGGCCGTAGCACTGTCTGAGAGGTTTACATTTCTCACAGTGAACCGGTCTCTTTTTCAGCTGCTTCCTGGCTTCTTTTTACTCAGGTTTCCACTGCTTTTTTTTTCTTTTTTCTTTTTTTAATGCTATGTTAAAGTATTGATATTTGCTTATATTTTCCATTATAATGCCTTTTAATCATGCATCATACTCAGAAACAGGGATTTGAATTTAAATGACAACGTTGGCTTACTATAATTTACCTTTTAAAAATCTGTCAAAGCTATTGCTTTAATTTCTTTTCCAAAGCAGATTTGAATGGCAGATTCAGTTTGCTTTATAGCATTTCTTAAAAGGCTAATGTCTTAAGCATGCCAAACTCATTAGCAATAGTCGAGTACATCTCTTTCTCTACTGCTACATAACTTTTAAGGAATATTAGTATGCATTAATGCATGCCTTCTAATGGACCTAAGACACCTAAAAGCATCTAAAACTACTTGGGTGCTGACCAGGGATTTAATTCAATTTTTTTCCAAACCGTGATATCGCATGCATGTGGAAAGCAGAATAACTGTAAAATGAAATGTCATTTTAGTTTTTCAGCCAGTTGATAAATTCAAAGAATATCAGTGTATTATATTGTCAGTCTTAGCTTTTAATGTAACTCAGAACCATGTGGTTCCAATTAAGCTTCATTACCAGCAGACTATGGTAGGGTCCTGATGAACCGCACCATAGAAGGAACACTTTAGGATAAGCAGTCTATAACATGGAGAGAGTATTGGCAGCATAGCAGAGTACAAGTTTAAAAGTAACTTGGTGTAAAAAGTAGGCAAGGAAGAAATGGACATACTGGGTAAGCACAGAAGGGGTGATAGTAACAAGGGATTTAGCTGTGTTAAATAGGGACTTTGGTACAAAGTTTCTTTTTTGGCATCTTTTGACTCACATAATAGGAGTTTTATAGTGTTGTTACTTTGTGATGGCCCTGGTTATCCTTGTTTTTTTCATTGATTCTATGAGCATTTCTTAGTATTGTGTGACCAAAATAGATTCAGACATTGAATACCTACAAATCCACCTATTTCCCTTTTCCCTTCTCCATTAACCTGCCGCCACTGAAATCTGGAGCCAAAAGTATCTGGTAAGTACCCATAGATTTCCTTGAGTTTGCCAACTCTTCCGTAGGATCGTCATTTAAATAGCCATGAGCTATAACCTGTGTGGCTGTTTATATTAGATTCTTTTTTGTGTACTTGTATTTATGTTTATTTAGTCACAGAAATAGTAGAGCAGAAGGTGGTAGAGGAAAAAAAAATTGTGAAGGTGTGCTGGCAATTCTGTCTTCTAAATTCACCTAAGAGGCTTTTACTAGAATTTGCCTGCTCACTAAAAATGTGTTGCAGATGCCTAAGACAGACCAG